GAGAGTTGGAACCAGATGTGTGGAAACATGATATAAGTGCGTGGGAAAAAAATAATACCTTGCTGGCCAATGTATATTTATTTGACCCGAGAGTTTAATGCTACTTTAAATTCAACACAATGCTATGTGAAAAAATCTACCACTTTTAAAAAAGTAAAATAAAAACCCAATTTTCTCCAAAAGCAGTGTCATGGATGCATCCTGAATCAAAATAGTATTTAAGCTAAAATTGTTAGTTTTCTTTAAAAGTAAAAACACTGTCATTAGGAAAATTAAATTTTATGGGATTTTCACATTTTTATTTACAGCTGGAGTAAAAAAAAAAAAAAGAATTACATTGACCCATAATTAACAAAGTGTTCCTTTAAAGGGAGGTATTGGCTTTTTATTATTTCAGCAGCTACCAGATTGTTAAATATTAGCTTTAGCAATAGTTGGTGTCTTATGGTTTGTATATATTTTCTATTGATGCAGCTGTGGATATGCATACGTATACGTACAGAAGTATAGTAGACAAACTTTTTGCACTATTTTATAAAGACACAAACCCAGAAAATGTAATTATAAACATGCTTTGCACCTAATTATTTTTCATGTGTTAGCATGTCGAGTAAGAGACTTCTGTTTTATATTATGAAAAATACTGTAGCCAACTTGAAAAATAAAAATTTATTTACTTAAAATCATTACAATATGTACATTCCACAAGTAAATTGTGAATTACACACAAGTTGCTTCTCACGATTAGTTGTGTTCTGGATCTGCCAGTAATGAAGCTGCTTTGCCTTCCATGTTATATCACCTGAAATATAAATTACAGTTTAATCCCAAGGCCTAGTTAATGTTTGGCCTGTAAAATCAATGCAGTTACATCATATGAAAAATGCAGCTAATGTTGAATGATTAGTCTGTTATCAGCAATGGATAGCACTGGCAAGGGATTCTTGAACATTTTGTAAATAAAATGTACAACTATCTACTCAAAACTTACCTGCACAAGTAGAAATAACTAGGAATTTAACCATAACACATTATTTAAGGCTATTAAAAATGAACCAAAATCGTTTTTTTTAACCTCTTGCCGTCCGCCCGTAGTAAAAAAATAAAACCCCCAGTGGTGAATAAATACCACCAAAAGAAAGCTCTATCTGTCCCCAAAAAAGGGTATAAAATTCATTTCAGTACAGCGCTGCATGACGGAATAAATGTCAGTTAAAGTACCGCAGCGCTGAATACTGAAAAATGGCCTGGATGGGAAGGGGGTTTAACACCGCGGATGTCAACTGGTTAAAGGACCTCTCTACTAAGCAAGACAGTCTCTTTTCAGCTGCCAATTGGTTTTCTAGAGAGGAAATGCTGTAAATATAGATTCATCTTGTACCGCCTGCTCAAGAATCAAAGGGTGGGAGCCGAATGATAGAATAAGGGCTTGTGTCAATGGGCTTTGAGGTTTATGTGATGGCATCAGTTTGAGACACTTCTGGGAGCATTCAGAAGACACTTCTGGGTGCATTTGACCTGCTGTTGACCTTGTTCTGACCTGTTTAAAACAGGTTTTACCTTTTTATAGACTTGTATGTGAATGCAAATGCCCTTTGAAGCACACAAATGCCTGTCAACATAGGCCATAATTTTGTTTAGAAAAAATTAGGAATGCACCGCTATATCGGCCGCTGAAAAATATCGGCCGAAAATTGCACTTTTGGCAAAATGCCGAAAGTGCAATTTTCTTTGCCGAAATAGCGGTGCATCAGTGATTTCTCTACTCCCCACTGGGCGCTGCTCGTTGTCCCAACGGGGAGGAGAGAAACTGTCACAGGCGGCCGAGCGGTGCGCAAGGAGAGCGATGTGAACGGATGGAGTATCTCCTCCCTGCACCGCCCAGCCTCCTTTGAAAGATCAGGAGAGCGGCAGTGTGGACGGAGATTGCTGTCATAGGAGGCTGAGCTCTCCTTTGACAGCGTGTCAGGATGGAGAGCGGGTACAAGCAGTCAGGGATCAGTGATCGCTGAGTGTTTGTAAATATTTGAGGACATAGTATGTTTACTGTGTCCTCAATTATGAATGAATGGGAAATGATCTACATCACTTCCTGTTTATTCATGATTGTGGATATAGTAAACATACTATGTCCACAAGTTATGAATGAGCAGAAACACTCAGTATAGAGGATTCCTGTTCATTCATAACAGGGGCTGCAGAAAAAGAGACATAAGGACTCTGTGTCCTCAATCTCTTTGTCTGTTTTAAAAGGGAAATATCAGGGGTCGGTTTCAGTCTGACATTTTTTTTCATTTCGGTTTCGTTTTTGACATTTTCATTTCGGTGCACCTCTAAAAAAAATGTTTTTGTCATATTGGCTTCCCTGTGCACTAGAGAATTAAAGAAGGTGGGGTTTTCCTATATTACGTTATATGGAGCAGGCCCAGTCAAAAGCATTTCCATTTTCTTATAAATCCAATGTAACAAATGAAAAATGTAGTTCTGCCACAGATGGGTGGATCTGTGAAGACAAGATACGAGATATCCACACATCTAAACCTGTGATGATTTTTCTATCCAACTCAAGTTGACTCCTAACGTTCAGGCCATCATTCTGACAAGGTATATACTGCAGTTTTTATCCAATGGAAATCTTTATTGATAACTATTACTTTAACACCTTTAATTCTCACTCTCTGAGGTGAATGAAGGGGAAATAATTTATTGTTGGCAAAGCTTGTGCCTTGCTTATCTGCACAAAATACATCAAATGCAGTTCAGCTGTCTTTGTTGTAAAGTATCAAATGACAACCAAGTCGGCTTGACTTGGCAATGTGGAGGTGATGGAAAAACTAATGTACTCCTCCCATCCAATTTAACTTACATTACATATTCTTTCAGCACAGTCATAAAATATAAAACATGTATTCAGAATGGGTCAAATTCGTGATATTAATATTGAGGAAGAATTCTGAGTGCCTAGAAAAGGATGGTACATTTGCTCTGCCACCTTTACCTACATTGCCAAAACACCACATGTATATCTTACTGGAGATCATTTCATGCATTATTTTTATTAAAATTGTTAACATTTTGATTAGAATTACAGCATTTTAGTCAGAAATTAGTTAACTAGATTTAGAGCAGGTGTTGAATTATAAGAAGTGAGACACCCAATTACATGTTTTTACTTTTTTTCACTTTCAGTTAAAGTGACATTAAAGTCAAAAACGTTTTTGCTCCCCACACTGTTAATTAACGCACTTACCTTAAATGATGTCTCTTAATCCGATCTTCCTCTTTCCTGTCCTTGTCAGCCTTCTTTCCAGCGCTGCTGCGAGTCTCCGATCCAGCGCTGACTCCTCTGTCCTTGCTGGCACTTCCTGTCCCACGGTGTCTGCATGCGGGTGCACACGTCCATAGACTTACCTTGTGTCTCTCGTCTCCAGGCCGAAAATCCGAACTGCGCATGCGCCCGCCCCAAGATGCTTTGCGGCCGCCCGAGCACTTATGGATTTTCGGACGGGAGCGCACCGCGAAGACAGGGGTAAGTTTAAAGCGCTTTCAAATCGTTTTTTTTAAACGTTTTGCATATATCTACTGTATAAATCAGTAGATATATGTAAAAAAACATGAGGGTTTAGAAACCCTTTAAGTACACTTTTATTGTATTTACCTACCCTTGCAGCCCAACTAACTGATCAAATTTTAAAACAAAAGTTGTTACCAACTTGCAAAGCCATATTCATTGGCCATATCAGCACAGTGCTTTTGTTGTCCAGTGCTACTCTGCATGTGCATTCTGAAGAAGTACATATACACCAGGTCGGCCCTAGAAAAGGACATTTGGGGTGCAAGTGCATAGATAACCTAACCCTCTATGGTTGCACCTGGCACATCATTAATGACAACATAAAAGCTGCTCTGGTTCTAAACAGTGAAAACTTCACCTTGCTGGATGCTACTAAAATGTACTCAAATTTGGAAACCTGAAGGGTGGCAAGTTTTTAGAAAAAAGTGCACTTACCACTTGGTCATAAAATAAAATCTTGCTGACCTACACCCCCCTCCTCTCTCCCAGCACATTGAGGATTTAATACTTGTTTAATCTAAGGGGCACTAATAGTGAGGAATACTGGCCCTACTCTATATTTTTATAGGCTTCCCCCCGCAAGGTCCACTTGTGTTACCAACCCTTTTGCTGATGTCATCATGTACAATGCATGACCAGCTACTGTTCCTGCAAGCTGGTAACTTCATCACGTACAGTGCAGGATCCGCAACCAGTTTGTACCACTCCATGATTCTATAGGCTTCCTTCCACCAGTGCCAGTAGTGATAAGCAATCCCTCAAAGCTGATGCTCCTCTCAAGTTGTGTGCCTCCTTCACCATCATCATCAATTATAATGCAGAACAAGTGACCACTGCTAGTCCTGCATTGTATGTGATGACTTCAAGGGCCCTTCTACATTCCAAGGCAGAAGAGTATCAGAGAGACCAGAGCGCTGCTGCAGGACTGTGGAGTAAGGCAAATATTAATCGCAAATAAATCTCCTCTGGACTAAACTAGCATTTTATCCTGAACATGCTGGGTGTGGAGGGCCCAGCTTTAAGGAGCTCCATACCAAGCCCTTTTTTGCATCTTTTGATAATTTCACTTATACCTGAATGCACATAGTCTAATAGCAGAAGCATTGCTACAATTCAAATCTGGGATAGTGGTTGCTGAACTTTGCAATTCAAGATGACTAAAGGTAGCACTGACCCAAAGCTGGGATTGAAGGGCTCCAGGGACTACCTTTTAAAATACCAGCTGAGGTGTGAAATCCAATGTCTTGTCAGGAATTAGTTTGGAAAGCCTCTTCATTGTAGCACTATTCAGCTTGAAGCAGAGCATAATGTTATCACTGTGGAGGAATAGGCCTTCCAATACTGCTTGCATTTTTTATACTGTTTACAATTTAATCACATAGCTTTTTAAAAGGGGAAACATTTATGAATGAGACTCAGGTATAGAAACATTGCTATGAAGCATTAAAACTTAACAGAAAATGTGCTAGAAGTAAATAAAATCATAAGGAAGCTTACTTCTTTATCCTAGTTGGGAATGAAATACATTAAAAAGGATACAACAGGAAAGGATACACTTTGAATGCCCAAACAGTAGTTTCATGGTCATCTTTAAGAAGAAGAACAGCACAACTGTTTTCACTGCTTTGCGTGTATGCTGGACAGAAGATATAATACAGACTGCCAAGCACTGCATCAGTGTTTTCCGAAGAGACCCTATTTCTTTTTTTTAATTTGTAGTTTTCCTATGCTCGTCTTGATTGTACTTACTAAAAGGAAAAACTGCCATTTACCAAGCTAAAGGTGTTTTCTCGTTACCATGTGACCAATATACCTAACACAAGCACATTATAGATCTGATTTAGAATAGGGGTAGCATATAGCAGCAGTTCCTTGGAGATTATGACCAGAACAGATACCTTCAGCTATATGTGCTGAAGGCATAACCTATGCTTCAATCTTACTAGCCCAGAAACTATTTACTCCTGCTAAATGAGAATCTGGCATACAAAGGGGTTTACATGGCAGGGAGAAAAACTTGGTCAAGTATGTCAATCAGGAGCTCTGACTCCAGACAAAATTTTTTTTAGTTTTTAGCTTTTTGCTGCTGTCTGTGTGTCTGCTAGGGAGATTTTCCCTATCAGTTGTGACAGAAATAAAGGGGAAATGTCTCCATTCAGGACAAAGACTGCAAAACAACAAAAAAAAGTTGCTTTCAATAAAATAAGGAAAGATTACAACCTCTAATCAGGTTATGACTGTACGTCTCCAAATCTCTATGACAACTGTTCGCCTTTATTTCTTGTTCTACCATCATAGAGACAGGAAGTGAGGTGAAACCTTCCCAAACAGCAACATGAACATACCCAAAATGAATGTGTGGGGCGGACCGAACAATCAAACTTGTGCAATCTAGAAAGTATTGCAGACTATTAAAAACAGCTCGACAGCCAGGAAATCATATTTTCCAGGAGAAGTGCATTCAACAGATTTCTCTCAATAAAGGTTTCTTCAAAAACACCAAAAAGTGTTTTAATAAACATTTTAGAAGTTTGGTCCTGAAATGGCCCTGTACACACACAGCGATTATGGCTGCCCAAATGGACCAATTGTGCTTGCGCTGCAGAATTTCTTCTCTGTCTTTCCCTAGCTTATTAGAAAGGCTATAAAAAAAAGGAGAGACATAGTGGTCCAACTTCCAACCAATCTGGGTGTCTTTAGTAAAAGTAAAGGACATTATAAAAACATTAATAAGAAACATAAAAACAATATATATTTTGAGAAAACTATATAAAAACATTCTGTAATGTATTGCATACTAAACATTTAAACGATACCCTGTGTTTTTCAAGAGTCAATTCCCTAGCAGAGCCCCCTCCCTTCTTTCACGTCACAGCCCTCTCCTCTTTTTGGAGTACCTAATTACCGTCTGTGCTGGCCCACCACCTCCACCACTCTCTAACCTTATATGTAGGAGCTGGGGGAGTGTGAAGGGGAATACTATACAGTGTCACTTGAGCGACAACTCTGCGTCTGCCGTGGCTGCTGATATCAAAGGGAAGATCCAGCAGTCTCAGGGCTTTTGGATGCCCACACAAGGGGGGCTTTTACAGATAAATAACATGCATAAAATAGGTTAAATACACATATAATCTTAAGGGAAGATTTTTGCTGAAATTAAAGATCTGGTGTCAAGGTCTCTAAAAAAATCTTTTGGGGGTTTTGGAGAAGACAATTTGTTACATAATTAAAGCTACGTGTCCTAATGGATCGGAAAGATTTGTGTTCTTTTAAAAACAAAGTAGCAAAACTCTCAAACTGGATTATTGGTAAACAAACAGGCTACAGGACATTGTTGTTCCGAGAGTCCCTGAGAGTTGCCTTGATCCTGGCGTCTCTTGTATAACTTACCTTGACTGCTATCTTTTGGCTGCTGTTTTATTAGCATTAGGTTTGGGACGAGCCGATCGTGCAAATTGCTGTTGCTTAGTTAAGGTTATTTATAAAACAGAGAACAGCATACATATTCTATGTGTAACCCAGCACATGAATGGAAAGTCAAAGAAAAAGACAGTAAAAAAAAAAAAAAATTGATTTATAAAAAATCTGGGTATTTGTATAATGGATCACCTGCACGTTCACTCCAGCACATACTCTACTGGCCGAAAAATAGAAACCCTGCAACAGAGGTGAGCCCACATTAATATTTTCAATTTGATCTTGGTTTCACTATTTTGTAATTCAGTAAGCTAGCTCAAGCTTGCAGCACATAAAGTCTGAATTTCTTTCATTTTTGTCCTACGTCAAAAACATGGTAAACAAGTGACAGAAAAATCATAAGACATGTAACAGCTGTCTGACAGCCGAGCAAAGGTGGCCCAATGTGACAATGAGTAGGGATTTATATTTTTATGGCCATTAAATATATGCCACAAATAAAGTGGTTATTCAAATATACTGGCTCTTCAAAAAATTAAATCTCACAAAATAGTAAATTCTGAAGATGACAGAATCTAGCGTGTTAGAGAACTATGAGGTGAGTGCTTTTCCCTCACCTCATAGTTCTAGCCGACCTGTGACAATGAGACTGTCACAGGTCGGCTCAGTAGATCAGGAGGCGAGCGAACACATACCGGCGTTCGCTCACCTCTCGATCCTGTCACGGCTCTCTGCCGTGACAGGGGAGGGGCTGGATTCCCCCCTCCCCGCTCCGATCCTCCACCGCTGACTGGCGGATAGGACGGGGGAGGGGTACAGCTGGCTCTGCCTCTAGATAGGCAGAGCCAGCTGTCACTCACGCAGCTGGGCGGATCCAGACATAATTGCCACGATACGCTTCAGCTGCGGCGTCTCAGTATACCTTAAGCCCATAGTTCTCCTTTAATGCAAATACCAGAACAATAGTTGCAGCTTCAAAACTAAGATTAAAAGGTGAACTCTGGGATAAGCAAATATTGTCTAAATGAAGAGGCATGGGTATGCTTACTTGAATCTTGGTGTGCTTTGTGTATTTCTTCCAGATCTGTACAGTAATTCAATGTGAAACTTTTCCTCTGTGCAGGCGCATCCTGTAATAAAGACCAGTCACTGCTGCTCTCGCTCCTTGTGCAGGGTGACTGGTCTTGGCTCCACCTGTAGTTTTCTGCAGGCAGCCTATAGTGGGTGGGGCCTGCTGGGACTCTCACAGCTCTGCATGTCATTACTACTTTACATAATCAATAATTTGATTAGCAGAGGTATTTGGCGCACACAAAGTGGATTTATATAATTTGTGGCTATTGAGGAATATATTTAAATTTAAAGTTTTTGTGCCTGGGGTTTAACTTTAAAAGGTTTTACACCGTCATTCTATACCTTGCATTGTGAATTAGGCTAAATTTAAGAATGAAACTAAGTTCCCCTTCACTGGAGTAAATTATAAAATCAGAGACTGTAATTTTTGTCTACCATATACAGTAACGGAAACTAATGTTGCAAAATGATGGCAGGCAGGGGTACTTTCCGAGTATTTTTTTTTCCTTAGGCACATACACAAAATAAAAAAACTTTAGGTCTCATCACCACTTAATGATGTTGGCATACATTGGCCAAAGCAATGGTGACCATAAAATATGAAATCAAAAGGATACAATGACCATTGGCTTGTCAAAAAGAACATATCCATGGGCATGTTTTAAGGCTTTTGCTGCAGCATCTTCATTGGGAAAGCCGATAAAAGCTTGTCCCTTCATCCTCCCTTCCTTCATCAAACGAACGTCAAACCTGTTATAGGTCAAGTTAAGAAAAACAGGAGAAAAGTGGTTAGTCTTGAAGCCTGGGACGTGTCCAATAAGAATAGAAAAAAAACAATATTCTGTATGGGACACAGTAATAAAGAAGCAATTTGTTTTGGCAAAGAATTTAACAATTATAGAAAAAGGGATATGGCAAGGAGAGATGAAGATGCTTGCCATCACCCACTGGCCACATAGATACAGCTGATAATTATAAACAATATTTAATCAGTTCACTAGTCATACTTAATGTAGTAACTGTTACTTACATGTTCTTTTCTGTTTCAGACAAAAAGCTGACAAATTTCCCAAATATAAACTTAAGTTCCTGTTGTAAAATAAGTGAAATAAATCAGTCAGTGGAGTACATATATGACACAAACACAGACCACAAGCTGCATGTGATCATTACCTTCTCAGTTACTTGTTTCGCTAAATTTTTCACATAGAGTCTGCAGTTTGGCTCTCCTGGCTCATAGCCCTTGAACACAGAAAGCTGGCGCATTTCTAAAACAGGGAATATACAAAGTCTAAATTAAAGAGGTTACTAATCATTCTAACATTTCATGTACAACATATCCATGTTGGTTCAGAAATAAGATTATTAAACCATGAATGCTACTAAAGGAAAACCCCAAGAATAAAACAAAAGATTGCAATAGAAACCATTTTGTCTTTTAATATTAAAACTAAAGGAAACTGAGTTTCAATCTGTAGCAGCTCCGATTACAAAAACGGACAAATTCAAATGTCAATTCTTTGAAACTATGGCAAGGAAGGTAACATTTCTAGATAGTCCTCCCACTAAAGGAATGAAGACACGGTTTGTTTCCTTATTTCAACACTAATCAGGGTTATTCACAAAAGGGTGAAGAGTTTGGAGAAGTCGGGAGAAGTGAACAATCTAGGACAACATAGCCGATTTGGAAAAACTCTCCAATTCAGCTCACTTTCCAGTTCAGCTATGTTGTCCTAGATTGTTCACTTCTGCCTTCTCCAAACTCTTCACCCTTTTGTGAATAACCCTGTTATATTTCCCAAGTGGTTAACATTAAAGCCATGAGTTATATTTCTTTCTCATTCAGATTTCCCTTCATATCCTCATTTGTGTAGTGTCCCCATCGTGGACACTACACAAAACTAAAAAATTGCCTTTACTTACACTTTAAGTTTGCTAAAAAAAATCCTTGCAATCTATATAGCTCAATAAGGATACTTTTTTTTTTTCTCAACAAAACTGGAGTTTTACTTTAAACTATTTTAAGTACATCACAAAATAAAGTCAAAACATACTGATATTTTGATTATGAATTATCCATTTAAAAAAATATAGTGTTGAAGAAGTGAGACGTTATTTAGAAACCAAAACAAGGAGTTGGTTCACCACTGCTGCATTTTTGCTCTCATGACAACTTTTTGTTTATCAAGGAAATTATTGGAGGGCTGCTCTGCAATTGCTACAGCTGATAGAGATAAAAGATTTGACTTAACCCCTTCGTGACTGACGACGTACAGTGTACGTCGCCAGCATCGGGGCTGTTTAAACAGACTCCCGGCGACTTTTGCCGCCGGGACTCTGTTTAAACTTGTAGAGCCGACTGTCGGCTTTACAACAGAAGCGATCCTGGCGACTTACCTGTCGCCAGATCGCTTC